CTCCCTATTCTTTGAGACACAAAGATACTGAAATTAGGCCAATTAAGAACCCTCAACAGCCTCTAAGTGTTCAAGTGAAAAGAAGAGTTGCACTTCTCTTATTTTAAATCAAAAGCTGGAATGATTAAACTTAGTGAGGAAGCCATGTCAAAAGCTGACGTAGGCCAAAAGCTAGGCCTCTTGCGCCAAACCATTAGCCAAGTTGTGAATGCAAAGGCAAATTTGTGGAAGTTCTGCAGCCCATTAATCGAAGAGTAATTTCAACTTGAAGTCTTATGATTTAAGAAATACATTTCGTAAGGCTATAGCTACCATAAATTGTGATTCCTCTGATGGATCTGGGCAAAGTAAATTGAAAACCTCTGGAAAAGATTCACCATTCTAGATGCCATTAAGAACATTCATGATTCATAGGAAGAGGTCAAAATAGCACCATTAACAGGAGTTTAGAAGAAGCTGATTTCAGCCCTCACGGATGACTTTGAGGGGTTCAAGACTTCAGTGGAGGAAGTAACTGCAGATGTGGTAGAAACAGCAAGAGAACTATGATTAGAGCCTGCTCTACATGGATGAGCAAAGAAAGTGGTTTCCTGAGATGAAATCTACTCCTGATAAATATTCTATTTCGATCATTGAAATGGCATCAAAGGATTTAGAATATTACATAAACTTAGTTGATAAAGCAGCAGCTGGGTTTGCGAGCACTGACTCCAATTTTGAAAGAAGTTCTACTGTGGGTAAAATGCTATCAAACAACATCACATGCTACAGGAAAAATCACTTGTGAAAGGAAGAGTCAATTGATGAAGTAAACTTCATTGTCATCTTATTTTAAGAAATTGCCACAGCTGCCCCAACCTTCAGAAACCACCACCCTGATCAGTCAGCAGCCATCAACATCAAGGCAAGACTCTCTACCAGCAAAAAGATTATGGCTCATAATAGACTTGCACAGTTAGTAGACTACAGTATAAACATAACTTTTATATGCACTAGGAAACCATAAAATTTGTGTGACTCGCTTTCCTGAGATATTCACTTTACTGCAGTGATCTGGAACAGAATCAGCAATATCTTGAGGTATGCCTGTACCGTATTATTTAACATATATGTAGACTCTAAAAAACAAAACAAACAACAAAACTCATAGATACAGAGAATCAATTTTTGGTTATCAGAGGAGAAGGAGGTTGAGGAGTGGGCAAAATGGGTAAAAGGGGTCAAGTGTATGGTGACAGACTATACACTAGACTTACTGTGGTGATCACTTTATAGTGTATACAAAGATCTAATTACTATGTTATACACCTGAAACTAATGTTAATGATATATACTAATTTTACCACAATTTTAAAAAATTGGGGATAATGATTATAATTGTCTAAATTGCCATGATGGGTTAAATTAAAATTGCATAAAAATTTTTAAAAAGCTAGTATCTGATAACTGAATATCTTATAGTTTTTAATATGCTTTTAAAAAATTTACTAGTTATGTTCAGTCTTTGATATGGGCACTCTCTATTACTAAGATTTTTTAAACCATTAAATTTTTAAACTCAGGGCTGATTTACATTAAACTAATAATGTGCTAAATCATGAGCGTCTTCCTTCTAATTGTTGTTGAGTGAAGATATTGTACTTGACTATTATATCTTTGTGCGAAGCTGAAAATGAGGCAGGCACCACATATTGCTATAGAACGTAACAGCCATTCAAAGAATGTAAAGAAGAACTGGTAATATTTTTCACTAGGTAAATATCAAACCAATTGGAATGTGTTATATCAAGTGACAGACAACAATATCAAGATCAAAGAACTACTTATTTTATTAATAAAAGGTTACTCTAGACAGGATCAAGCTAGTTTATTCCTCAGAGAAAATAGTTAACCAGTAGGGTACTGGAACTCAGTAAAATAAAGTTGAGGAATTAGGAGAGTTCAACTGCAACTAGAAAAGTAACAGAGAATCAAGACATTTAAAAATAAAAGATCGAAAATGCAAAGGCAATAAATATAACCTACTGATAATGCATACAGATAGCTGATATAGTTTATAAGATTCAATATGCTTCCTATTAAAAATAGTGAATACAAAAAAAATCAGTGAAAACAGAATAAATACATATTAGATATAAGGACTTGGTCTTTAATCTAATTACAATGAACAGAATCATTGCCTCTAAGGAAAATAATATTGCCTGAATTCAACACTGAAATAATGTCCCGGTCTACAGCCATGCCACCCGGAACGTGCCCGATCTTGTCTGATCTTGGAAGCTAAGCAGGGTCGGGCCTGGTTAGTACTTGGATGGGAGACTATCTAGGAAGACCAGGTGCTGTAGGCGTTAAAAATAATAATAATAATGATAATGTCCCAAATTACACTTAAGTGGTATGGTAAGTTTGAGCAAGTTAATAATCTTCGACCTGCTCTAAATTAGTCCTTTTCCTGAATTCTCAAATACATAGATAAGAAAATAAAATATCCTAAAGTTACAAAGTTTACAACATACAATGTTTATAATCTTAGATATATGGCAGAAACTAAAATTAAGCTAACAAAACATTACAATTATTTTTCCTTCTATAATTTTGGACTTAGCACAGCACCTGCAATGAAGCTAAATTTCTGTACCTGACTAGAATGTTAGGTGATTTTTCATATTTAAGAATATCAGAACAAAGGGTATATTAGTAAAAAGAATGCTTAATTAGTTTGATACAATTTTTATGTATCAATATAAGGAACAGCCAACAAAACAGAGAAAAATAGAAGTTCTAAAGTACTAATAAACATCATAAAGTTTTGAAGACAAACCATCACAAAAGAATTAAAATAAAGAAAATGTCAGGATTAACCACTAGACGGCAGTAGCAGGCCATCAGAGAGCAGCTCCTTGTCTTGTAATTAATAAGTAAATAGTGCTATTATTCTCCAATATCCCTGCTCTAGTAACACTGACATCCCTAAGGTCTTTCAAAAGCCCTCAAAAAAAAAAAAAAAATTTAGTAAGTGCAATAGAGGCCATACAGTCAGTTTTAAATGAATTAGAAAAATCAAAACACTTTTTTGCCTATGAGAATACAGCAAAATTCAAACACACACACATACAGCCTCCAAGACCAGAGTGTGGGGAAATGAATACTTTCACATTAGTAGGAATATTAACTGGTGTAGATTTTTGAAGAATTAAACCTTTGACCTATTTGGAATCTAGCACAAAGATATTCATTGGCAGATTTGTCTGTCATAATAAAAAAAAAACTTGAGACAGTCTAAATGTCTACCAACAGAGAAATAGTTAAATAAAAATCCATATTATGGAATATTAAGCAGCATTTATAAAAAATGAGGTAGAACTATAATGAGGTGAAGGATTCCCACCACATAATATGGGAAAAATACAACTGCATGATGCAAATACACACCCACATATTTATGTACAATGTTTGCAAAATTACATAGAATAAGAGGATACATACTAACTGCTGAGGAAGAGGTTTTATAATGTGATTAAGGGGCACTGAAATTTCATTTACATTTATTTCTAGACTATTTTAACTTTTTCAATAAGCATGCATTACTTTATTACCTGTATAGTTTGAATTAGTAAAAAGCAAGACAGAAAACATTATATGTAACAAGTCCCTATCTGTTGGAGAAAAACAACAAAATTCACAATGAAGAAAAATTATGAGTACTTACATGGATAAAACTGTATTTCAAAGCTATTGCTAGTTTTAATAAAGGATAATCTTACACAATTTTTAAAGGCCAGGTAACCCATCAGAGGAAAACATGAAGAGATAATGAGTATTTAAAGATGATTAAATATACAATGCAGTTTCATAGCTACAATGATGAATAATCAATCATCCTGATTCCAAACACTTTTCCAGAAAGGGGAGGTGGGGGGTGAAAGGAAGGAAGAGAGGGAGGGAAAATGAATCTTGAATAAAAAGGAAGCAATCAGAATCTATAGACTCCTTGTCTCCATTTAAAAATAGGAATTTGGACATTACAGAATAGGCCTCAGAGCATATAATGGCAGATTTCACCACTGCTAAATTCATGGGTCTCTCAAGAATATTATAAATACCAAACAGACTAATAAATGATCTACTAGTTACATTGGGGAGCTTAATAAATTATATAAATTAATGAAATCATAGACTGAAAAAGACTTAGGAGATCTGGGACAGGTCATACCTAACCCATCCCTGTAAAATCTATTATTCCCTAATTTCTCTTGATGCTTCAAAAGATTACACAAACCCTTACTCTCAACCAACTTGGACACGTTACCAAAAGAATTATATATTCTATCTGTCTGTCTGTCTATAATCAGTTTTTACCTTCATTCTAGTCTTTACATCTTGTTTACTGTACACCCCAATCCAAGCCTTGGCTTTTCTGTTTCACTTTCCCTCGCGCAATACTGTAGCATCTAAGCATCCAATCCCTTACTTGGAATTACGTCTTAAAATTTCCCAAATCTATTCGATTTTGTAAAACATTTTATAGGCTGATAAAACTAATCAAAGACCTGCCTACTCTGATTTTCCATGTAAAATGACAAATCCATCTTTACGCAAACTCTCTACTGTTTCGGGGAATAAGGAGATAGAGCACTGATTTCCTAGGCTCATTTAAAGCATTCGATTGCATGAAACAGAAAAATAAGGGAGCTGCATCAAATATACATAAAAGGGAGAGCCATTAAGCTCCAAAATGATTTGGAACATTGTTTTCTATAGTCTCATAGCAGTGACAGGCCCCTGTGGGGGGAAGTTGCTTGGCAACTGGAATTCTTACTTACCAATAGGTAATTTCATATAAAGCCTTCTAAGTTATGCACTGTGTAATCCACTATGTTGTTTGTTCTTATTGGTTACAGAATTCTAAGGACAGTAAGCGTTGGTGGCTACTTCAGACAGTAACAAATTGATAGGAAAAAATAGAATACAAAGTTATACTTAAATGACTCATTTTCCTCCCATTCCCTCCCCTCAACGCTATTTACCAAAGCAATTTTTTTTAAAGCAAACACATTTTATTCCCCTCTCCTCCGTACCAAGTGTCAAAAGAAATTTCAACCACCCTCCAGCTTCCAAGAGCCACATAAAGAAATAAAAACATCATGATTTTAACAGTTCAAAGAACTATGTAGCAAGAGCATCGGGCGCAAAAGATAGTTTGATGAAAAAACAGTCACCTGCATAAAGGAAAAGGGAGAACAGAAAAGATACTATGTGTGAATAGGAAAGGCTCCACTGTGACAGTTTACTTAGTATATTAAAATGCTTAGACAGAAACATTAGGAAAAAAGCCAATTACTAAGAAAAACTGCTCCCAAACCAAGGTAGCTACTGGAACACATTTAAGAGATGTAAGCCAGGCCTGAGCACTAATGTTCTTCCCTTTTCTGCCTTCGCTGGAAAACAAAAAACAAAAAAAACCAACATTTCATGCATTGACTATTATTCCAGGAACCACTGAAATTCAACACTCAATTATAAAGTGCTGCAATTTTAAAACTTAATAATAAAAAAAAAAAACCCTGAATAACTTGGAAATCTGCCTACTGAAATAACATAAGGAAATCAGCAAGTGTTTCAATTTTTTAAAATATGTTTATTCTTCTTTGACCAGAACTAATATTTTCCCCGCTTTGGTATTCCTTGTTCATTTGCTGCCATAAACTTCTACCCAAAAGAACCCCACTAGGCTGGCCAAGCACCTTGCTCATCCACAGTAGGTTAAGGACAAAAAGAGCAAGAGGCAGGTCACTCACTTCAGATCACCCTATCTATACTCAGAATTTCCAGAACCTACCATATATTAAATTTTGTAAAGGTGGCACGGAACAATAGAAGATGTCAGGAATTTTGCTAGCAAGGATTCTGTTGTGTTGTTACAAAGTTTTTCTACTTTGAGAGAGACATTCATGACACAACAGCTTTAAAAAAAACACACAAATATGTGATTTACACATTTAAATTTCAAACACACACACTCATATATTTCTTCCTCAAATTGGAAAATATGTGTGAAAAAACTCAACTGTCTAAAATGATGATGCATTAAAGCATCTTTAGGAGCTGGCTTTTTAGTTATTGCTGTTACTTTTAATTAAACACTAATGCTCTCTCTGTAGTTTTCTCCAGAGAGAACAATTTTAATATCTCAAAGGAAAGAAAAAGAGAAATTACTGGACGGTGTGGTTAAAACAAAGTTCATTAAATGGGACCTCTTTTAAAGGGGCTTCCCCTTCAGTATATCAAATGTAAGTTTGATAAATGAAATAATAAGAGAGTGCCCTTTAAAAAATAAGAAAATTGTATCTATACCACCTAAAATATTCTCACCATGAAAATATGACTTGAAACTAAAATCTTTGTTTTAGGATACAGAGAAATTTAGAAGGCTGGTGAATCTAAAGGCTCTATTACAGCAATTCCAAAAATTGCTTTTTAAATGTAATTAGCATAAAAATCAACGGAGGCTGACTTTAGAAAGCTGGCACACAACAATAAAGATTTAGTAATGTTTTAAACTATATCAATCTATAGCTTAACCACCCAACTCCCACTGTTTTTGATGCACTATTAAGAATATAAGAACAAATTCATTCAATAAACATTTTATCACACACCTACTTGTTAGGCACTGTCCCACGAGCTTAAAACATAGAAATCATTTCTTTTTTACCTTCATTAGCCTCTGGCCTTGAATTCTTAATATATGCAGAGAATTTGGCAAAGATGTCCATTCCAGCAGTATTTGATTCTGGGTGTTTTGGTGAAAGCTTTAAGTACCTAAATGGAAAAAGTGATAATAGATTATAGGTCCTCCCAAGGTACATTAGTGTAAATTCTCTCAATCAACAAACCATTGTGCTAGCAGTTACTAGACAGCTTTTAACTGTTATTACTCCAAGAAATGCCATCATCTATTTTCTGTGATATTTTAAAGATGTATTTTTCCTTAAGAAGCAAAGCTCTGCACAGTGTTTTTCACATATTAATATTCTTGGCAACAAAAAGGCATTCGCGCTCCACCTCTATTTTATAAACTAAAATACTGGGTAAACAGTCTACTTGTTCCAAGCCACTGGGAGTCTTAGAAAACTCTAAGAAATCTTTCTGTGATGATGGAAATATTCTATATCTGAATTCTCCATGTCAGTAGTCCATTTGTGACACGTGGCTGTTTGAACATGAATTTAAATTAATCACAATTAACGTTTAAAATTCGCTTTCCCAGTTGCACTAGGCACATTTAAACTGCAGAACTTTCTCAAATAGGAATGCTAATCAAACCCTTGGGGTCCCATGCACTGAACCAGCCCTGTGCAGCAGTGCCAGAGAACCTTGACAGTAGGAAAAGAATCTAGGCTGCTCAAGCACACTCACAGTAGGTTAGGGACAAAAACAGCAAGAGGCAGATCGCTCACTTCAGATTACACAACACTCGGGATTTTCCGAAACATTCCAGGTTATTAAATTTTGTAAGGGTGGCACTGAGCAACAGTAAAACAGGATGTTGGGAATTTTGATAACAACGGCTTTGTTACGTTGTTACGAAGTTTTTCTACTTTGAGAAGAGACACTTGTGTCACAAGTTTCTAAAAAACTACACAAATGTGTATTTTACAAATTTAAATTTCAAACACACATCCAAGTATTTCTTCCTCAAATTGGAAAATACATGTGAAAAAGCTCAACAGTTCACTCCTTCCTTCAGCAGAGGCAGCCTCAGCTCCAGGGAGGCAGGGCCGGAGGAATCTGGACTCTCAGGTCCATTTCAGGGAACATAACATCAGCTAAAAGGTCCTACAAAATTTCACTAGAAAATGGGCAGACTTTGGAAAAAAGTCTTAAAGTTAATAATTTAGATTTATTCATATATTTTATGCTGTCTTGCTACTTTAAATTAAAAATGAAGTATTCTTCTATAGAAATTTAGTTCAGTTGCAAGATACAGTTTGGATTAGTTTATATTCATATCTTTTACACTTACTATCTTGAATTCAAGAATTATATCTTCTAAAAAGTGGACATAGTACTAAATTGGTAAGAAGAATATAAACTATCTATTGAACACCTATATGCTCAAGTTATCTTTTTAATATCTCGATTTTTAAGCTTAAAGATTTCTCTTATAAACAAAATTATTTACATAACAAGGTTTTCAGCGAGCAATTATAGTAAATGAATTTCACCTGAGTTTATTTTTCCTGCCTGAGCTGTAACAGTTAATCCCTGCTTCAACATACCCTGGGTTTCCCTTGACTATAAAAACAACCAACCTCCAATTTAAATGTTTTCACCACTGGTAATACAGTACCTTCATTGACTTGTTCCAAACAAAAAATAGTACAAGGAACTTAAGTGCCTCTTCAATACGTCTATGTCTTCCTCTAGCCAAGTTTCCAAAATTAGTCTTCTTTTCCTCAACCAATAATTAGCTGTGCCAACTTTTTCTAATGAAGTAAACTTCAAAATTCTCAAAATAACTTAGAGGAAGGCAGGTTTGGATTACAGATCATTTTTATACATTCATTATTCATACATATACTCATTTATTCTAATTATTAAGTATCTACTATGTGTCAGGGATTGTATTACGTGCTGAAGTTGTAATGATGAGCACAGAGAAGCATACTTACTAGAGATCTATTTTAATGAACAGGTAAGAATAAAGGGCTTTCAATCAGCACATCCTCTTTAATATGGAAAGAGATGCTATTAAAATTCTTTAAAAAACACTGATCTCTAAACAGGTTAACATGCCCTGTTCTTCCCTTCTAAAACAAACCATTAAATTTGTATCATTAATTTAATGTATAAAATACTATAGCTACAAGAGACCATTCATCTCAATCTTTCATTTTGCTAAAAGAAAACTATATTCCAGGAAGTTTACATACTTGGCCCCAGGTCACTGGATTAGTTAAAAGTATCACCAAACTAAAACTCAGATTTCCTGTCCCTAGGTCTAGTGTTGTTTTTGTTTTATGACAAGTCAGGTTCTAAAATATAAATCAAATTCTAAACCAAGAGGTCCAAAATCAGCTGTCAACTCTTTTTGTATTCCCCCTTACACACACTAGATTTTAATAATTCATCGATATTAATTTTAGCAAATAGCTTGAAAAAGCAATAATTTTCAATTATTGTGAACATTCATATTAACATTTAACAAAGGAAGGCAAATAATAAAAGCTATGTGTCAATAACAGAACAGACATGAGCATTCATGGTATTTAGACTTTCCGATTAGTCCTTTTTTCTGTATTATACCACAAACTATTAGTGGTAGACTAGCTAAGAATATTTCCGCTCTTTTAGGAAAGATCTCGGATATTCTCTTTCTCGTGCTAATGTAAGAGTAAAGTCTAGTTATATAGTCTTTATAAATTCAACTTTCATTGTCTCTATTTCTCATTTTTATAGAGCTCTTCCCCCAAATTATCTAACTTTATCCATCTCTTTTATCAGTAAGTTAGCCAAGAATACAGGCCTGCTTCAGTTAAAAATCCAAATTTCAAAGCTTTTTTGAAAGCCTTTTTAGGGAGTGGGGGGACTGGAGGAGGCAAAGTAGTTCCTTCGTTCAAGCAAGGGACACACACACACACACACCCGACATACATAAACTTTCCTCAAAGAAAGTTTCTTCTTTAAAACCTATACTTACATAGACCAGCAAAAGTTGCTTGATTTAAGTTAAATGCATCAGAAGTTAAACCTCACCTACTTTTTTAAAAAAGATTCACTAAATTCAGTTTGACACCACCTTTAGTCCAACTTGTTCATCACAGTAAAGAAAACTATCTTGGATTTCTCTCCTAGTATTCCTCTAAGCCTGAGCTAGCCTTCAATTTGGTACTCACGAAAACTCAAAACTCAGTTTAAAGACTTACATTTCACCTCTTCATAAAAGTCAAACTCAACGAAATGAAAACTAGAAAGAAGAAACATAGGCTTTTGAAGTCATTCAGACCTGGCTTTGAAAGTAGGTATGTCAGCTCTGTCAATTAACCTTGGACAAATTATTTGGATTACTCATTTTTCTGGATCCTCTCAAAGAGGATTGAGATAATCCAGAAAAATCAGTATCCAGAAAAATCCAGAAAAATCCACAATGCGCTGTGCATGGCACATAACTAGCACTTGAATGTTAGTTAATAACAGCAGAGGCATTAGCAATATAAAAAATGCTCTCTTCTAAAAAAAGTGAATTATAAAAGCTCTTTAGAAACTCTCTTCAGAATATAAACTAAAACACATAAAAAAGGAAATTACCCTTAGAGAGAATTTAGCCTACTATGAAACCTTTATAACAGAAATATCTAAGATTTATATTAAATTATTTAAACTGAAAGAAAAGACCATCTCTGGTTAGAGTTATCTCTACAAATATGTCCCAACAAAATGGGGCTGAAATTTCGATATATAAAAAGCAAAGTGAAACTATTTTCAAGGTCCAATTCAAAAAGCTGTGATGTCAAGAAACCAGAAAAATTTGATATTAGCTCTATTATTTCTCCTAATGTCTATTCCCTCTGAGAAAAATAACAAGAGAAAATAAAAATTATTTTTGTTGTTGCTGTTGAAGAAGACTAGAAGACGATATGAGAAAATGTCCATTTCACTGAAATGGTATATAACGTTATCAGCATACTGATTTCAAAAACTTAAATATCCTTGGAAGAATTTACACATTAAACACTTCAGACAATGCTTTAAAACAAAATACAGTTTTCTTCATAGAGAATGACAAGTCATTCAAACTGTTCTCTATTTATAATTTAATGTTGGCACAATGATCTATAGTTACATGAGAGGAAGACTGCTTTCATTAGTGTCTGAGGACAACCTGGCATATATGAAAGTTCCCTCAAAGCTGACAGACTTTTAAGAATAAAAAGGGATCTATCTAGTAGATTTTATGATGCAACAATCTTTCAAAAATTATTTCCACTAAGTTGAAGACATGTTCATAGTAGTTCCTTACTGTTGTGTATACAGTTTGAATTTATATTTTACAAAGATCCCAGTTTTGATGTATTGGCCCTTAGAGACTTTATTGGTTTCTACTTACTTACATACAAGGTCTGGAGGAAAAGTCAAGATATGGTTTTATTAATGTTGCTCTGGAGAAACTTTACTGCAAATGGAAGGAAGGTATGAACTCCTGCTAAGCAGAGATAAAAGAAGTTTGAGGCTCTTAGAAAGACAGGATGGAAGGTAGAAGATAGGCTTTTGTAATAAAGGATTAAGAAAATGAAATTTTAGGCTTAGTACAAGATTGCTAAACAGAGGGCAATTCTATTCATAATAAGAGATGGGCTAGTTGTAGACAGAGGTATCACTATTCATACTTCTCATAGCAGCCTTCCAAACTACCATCTCCAATCCTGCACTCTACACTCCAGCCATAACGTCAGGTCCCCAAAAGAAACACTATTGATTCAACATTATAATTCTGCCTGGAATAACTCTCACTCCTTTGCTCACCTGCCAAAGGCTACTTTTTTAAATTTAAAGTTTAATTCAAGTGTTGTCTCTTCTCGAAAGCCTTTCCTGATTCCGCTCACTTTCCCATAACAGCACCTCCACCATCCGTAGTCGACTGTACTGTAGGAACTGTGTCTTATTCACTATTGTGTCCACAGAGCTTTGCTGCCCAATAGCTATTTTGCAGAATGAATGATTGAATGAATATTGAGAAATTAATTATTTTAGAATCCTCTGACCCAACAATCCCATTCCTGGGAAATTTATCTGGATATAGAAGTCAAATTAACTAGCAAGAAAGGCTTGAGCCAAAAGAAACATTTCGGTTTTCAGGATAATAAAACTGGAAAAGCCTAAAAGAAACCAAAAATGCTCTGAACCTATGCCAAGATGACAGTATGATGCAAAACTGCAATTTAGGTATTGTCATTAGAGTTCATCTATTCCTCAAATGTACCTCACATTACAGGAAATGGTACTCTAAAATCGTTAACCATGTACGATCTGAGGATCTAGAACACCTCAAATATATAAACAGAAACTGAATCCTGAGGACACAAGTCTAAAAAGTCAATTCCTTTGAGTGGTAGCTTCAGAAAGTTACCTTTAAAATGGCTGACAGAAAATCCCCCAGCAACCTGTACCACACACCTGCTTAGACATTCTGGCTGCGTTCAGTCTGAACCAGTCTCTTCCCATCTTTTCTCTTTGCTAAACTTCTCTCTCAATTTGGAACCTATATTCCTCAAATTACAAATCTTTCCTGACCTATCTCACATGTCCCAAACCTACCTTAAGCACGTACTCTACACAGCTTAATCAGATTCCTACCTTTCACAGTATGGCTACTGGCCTAGCCAGAGGCCAATTCTCATATCTGTGTAGCATTAATTATAACGAATGAAGTCCTAGTCATTCCAACTTAATACTATGAGAATTTAACTCAAGTACCATTAGGAGAAAGGTCTCTAAGGAGCAGATAAGACAAAGCTTTAAAGAGATGGCAATTATTTCCTTGCATGTTTTCTTTGATACTTACTTGGGAGGGCATAAGACTTCTTCAAGAAATTCTTCAATCTTATTTACATCCGTTTTGACTTCATTGTTGAAAGTTATAAATGGTGGGTGGGTCCCGGGAGCCAAGTTCTGCAGGTCTACAGGCTTCCTGTTAGGCAAAATAGTGGTCAAAATTGGAACATTTTTTACTCTAATTGAGAAGGAAACAATACTTTAAATTCTCAGAGTGTTTCTACTTTTCATAGTACATAAAAATGAATAATAGTATTTTCCCACTAAGTATAACAGCTGTAATAGCACTCTGATAAGCAAACTTCCACAAAGCACATAATTTATGATAAAAAAAAAAAAAAATTAGGAGTCTTTGATTTTAACCAAAAAACAAAGTCCTTTATTCTCATTCCAAGTTTAACTGAGGTTCTTATTAGAAATGGTGGTAGAATGAAGGGATAAGACTTGGGAATTGGGAAAGTCACTATCTAGTTCAACTCTGGTACCAATTCATTGCATAAAGATGGGTAAACCATAATTCACACCTAGGCTGTCCCTCCTCTTTTCTTGTAAAATAAGGGAGAAGAGCAGCTGATTCCTATAGTCCTTTTTAACTATGATTCCAAATTCAGGTGCTACCTCTTTTTCATTTTCCTAGAAGTCTAGACTTAACAAAGATCACCAGATTTGACTATCTAAAATTGAAATTACTTCGATATACAAAGACAGCATAACAAAGGTAACAGGCAACATAAAATGGGAAAAATATTATAGTGAATAAGAAAGCCTTAAAATATATATTAAATAAAGCTTTTTATCCAAATTCATTTTAGGAAGAGGAGAAATAGAAGAAAAAGGACAAAACGAATGGGCAAAATCTTGGTAACTGAATTGAGGTTATAGGGAAGTTTATTCTATTCTTGTGTATGTTTGAAAACTTTCATAATTACAAAGGTTAACTTAAAAATATATAATATACTGATTCCTTTAAAGAACTTCCCCCCTCCTATTAAGCCCTCCTTTCCTCCCTCCTTACCACAAATGCATAAAGGATATCTCTAAGTGTATCATAGAGGTGAAATATTTTGTCATTAAAAAGAATTTTTAAAATAGAGGGTATTCTAAAATCTCTACTTAGCCCAACTTATCGATTTCCCCTGGTCTCATTCATTTCATTCTCTGTCTTTCCTTTTCCTTGTCTCTCTCTTCTTTTCTTACCCTCCCCACTCCTTACCCCATACCCTGTCTCTCAAATTAGGTTTGGAGAGTACCTCATCTTTCTATGACTATATTCTAATCAAAGATACAAAGACCTATTAATTATCCAATTAGCCATAATTTTCTAACTCAGAGACTCTCTCTACCCAAATTCTAGAGCCTATCTCACTCCCAAGGCAAAGAGAAAGAAGACATATTTCTATCAACTTCTATAAAAACCTAAGCTCCAAAAAAAGACTTTTAAGTCAAAATCTGATTTGATTTTTAAATTTGATTCTTTTAATGAGCATTCTTTAGTCTGCTAAGGTAAAGTGAGCACAAAATAATAGGGATACATGAAACTTAAGTATTCCAGGTCCACATTTATTTAAATAGGTCTACCTATAAGATTCCAGTAACTTATAGAAATACTAATCCTTTTCTATTTTTCATTTCCTTGGATTCTTTTGGTTATTCCATTTCACTCATCCTCCTGACCACCTGTTCTTTGATCACTGAAGGGTCCGGCATGTCTAAGACCGTAGTCATTGTCAGTCTTCAAGTCACTCAGTCACATTTTCATTCATAGACTCACATTTGTTCCCCTTATAATTTATTTCCTCCTCAACTCAGGAAGACCTTGTATATTATCAAGAGTCCAGAAACCCTAACATTTAAGGCAGGGGTCCCCAACCCCCAGGCTACGAACCAGTATCAGTCCGTGACCTGTTAGGAATTGGACTGCACAGTAGGAGATGAACAGCGGGCAAGCAAAGCTTCATCTGTATTTGCAGCCACTCCCCAGAGCGCTAGCATCGTGACCTCAGCTCCACCTCAGATCATCAGGCATTAGATTCTCATAGGAGCACTGGTCCCTGGCACCAGAAAGGTTGGGGAACACTGGTTTAAGGTTTACATATTTATTTTCAAATCTTAATATTTTAAAGTTTTAAAAAACGTAGCATAAAGATAAGAAAAAGAACAACGGTATCTCATCAAAGCAGGCAGGGTTAATAAAATTTGTATAAAACGCACACACGGGAAAGAAAACACACACATCTCCCATGAATGCCAGTGAGGAGTAAGAATGTTCTTTAATCTTGTCATATACAAATTGTGATCACCTAGAAAACACTTTTCTTATTCCAAGTTACAAAACATACCCATCAACATTTTTGGGCTAATAAACAGTCCATCAAATGCCTAAGTATAAAGTAATAACTTACATCTGTGTCTTTTACAAATAATTTTTTCATGAACAGGGTGGAGTAGGGTAAGAAGAAGAAAGAGATCAACGCTTTAAACAACCCATGGTGGGAGGGCAGTGAAATAAATAACTGCTATTACTTCTGTAATAAATTACGACAGCTTTTAAACTCTCTAAACAAAAATATTTATTACAGGACAGATAAAGTTAGCATGGTAAAGAAGAAAGAACCGAAGACTGAATAAAAAGCACTCGGTTAAAATCCCAAATTGAATAAATAGATCTGCCATTCAATTTACCAGCTAAATGACTGAGTCAGTCACAATTTCTTTGGCTCTGGATTTCCTCATCTGTACTATGGCTATAAGACCTGCTTTGCCCGTAAAGATCAAACCAGATGATGCATGTGAAAGTGAACTAAACCAAAGTATGCAAATGAAAGTCATTACCGCTTTCAATTATCACATTAACAAAGCATTATGCAGGAGATGAGACTGGCAGTTTTAAACTCTATTTGACTCTGATGGTTCAAAACTGGTTATCCAGTTTTGATTGGTAATAAGAAATCTGATTAATATAGAGGTGTGTAAGTGAAGTAAAACCAGGCATATGATTACCAATTTTCCATTAATATCAGTGACTAGTGAATAATCCACCTTGTTTCTACTGAAAGGCTATATAGAGTTTTAAATAATAAAGGTGATAAATACTATTTTCCAGGATTAACTGCTGAGATGAAGAACAATCATGTTAGATCCAGACTCCAAGTGAGAGGAGGCATGAGAAGAAATTTTAATGCCTCTTCATTGATTAGATTAGAAGACTTCAAATAAACGGGCAAGTTGTAAGTACTGAGGTGACTCACTTAGAAGCTATATCAAGTTATCAAGCCAACAGAATCTAAGATTCTTCAACCTCTAGTCCTCACCTGGCACTGAGGCCTTAGGTGTTTTGTCTGACTCACAAAGGCTCATTTTACAGATGCTTCACAGAAACTTAACATTTCAGGAACTGCAGTATAAGATAAATGAAACTGAACCAACAGGCAATGGCTAAAAATTTCAAGACATCTTTGGTTTACATCATAAAAGGCCTTCAATAAATATTCAACAATTCCTTCAAACTCATTCAAATGTTTCCCATGAGTGATAGCTAGAAACAGCCTTAAGAACACAAATATTCTTCAATGTTTGGGGTTTTTTATTTTTAATGTTACTTATAAAAGTAGTCCTTTTTTTCATAGTTGTCTTTTAGATAAAAAAAATATTCTGTTCTCTCTGTTTCCAATGAAGAAAAAGAAATAAAGAAAAACAAACTAAAACAAGAAAGCAGAAAGAAAAGGAAAGAAAGAAATGAGGAGGAACCTTATAGGAGCTAATACTTTAAGCAACTTAAGTGGCTTAACTGCAATTAAAATTTAATTTGGTACACTTGCAACAATTGGAGGACATCGGACTGGTGGCTCAGTTCCAGCTGCTTGGTATAAAATGAGTACAACAGAACCGTAGGACACTGAAGCTGGTTCTTATAGGTGACCTGTTTGTAACTAGCTGACTCACTAAATGGGAAAAAAAGTGCTAAGGATTTCCCTTTTGAAGGTGCTGATTTTCAAGGCATAACATTAATTCACCCAAATCCAGAGGATATTGGACACTATACAGCAAATAAGCAAAAAAAGTCAACACTTCAAATCCCTAGTTTGTTTCAATTTACTACAATTAATTATTCTTTACTAGATTTGCTATATTCCGAAGTTACTGAGTCAGTGAATTGTGGACTCATCAAAATACATGCAAGATCCCAGTTACTAAGCAATTGTCTATCTGTACCAGTTCAACCAGTTAAAAGATTTTATTTATTTACATTAAATGTGATATACTGTTAATTTTTGTCTACTTTAATGTCAATTTGCAGAGCAAGCCATTTTAAAACAAAACAGCATGCCCTCTCCCATGAAAAGGTTTCAAATACGGTTTCTACAATTCTTAACAGATTTTAATAACACAGTTTATTAGCAGAGTTTATATTGATAACAGGTTTAGAAAAATATTCACTAACATATTTCTAATTCAGCTCTTAGTGATCTCAACAGGAACTATCACCTTTAAAATCATCTTGAAAAAGAACATACAGGCATGTCAGCAAACTTCTCCTCTGTCTTTATGTATCTCTCTCTTACACACACACACACACACACACAGGGCATGCAAGTGATTCAGAATGCATTCATGAGACATATCTGGAATTGTAGCACTTATTCTAATAGGGTTTCAGAGAACTCAAGTCAAATTTATAAAGGGGAAGAACAGAGTCTGTACTTTCCTGACTGGCCAGCAGCAGGAAATAGAATGGAAAAGGCCTCTATATTTATCATTCACACTGCTATTACTGAAGATCTACCTGGAAATCAAACTGATCTCTCAACTTCCTGAAGGCTGTTTTCAGACTGGTGGAACCAGAGACTTGATAATGAAAACAAACTATATGAAGAATCTATCTGGAAATCAGATTTTGTTCTGAGTTTATAATCGTCTTTTAAGATATGCAGAACTGTTTTATCATTTCACTGTAACATTTTAAACTATTACAAAATTGTTAAAGTTTAAACTATCATAATAATCTCCCAAAAATGTATGCATTATGGCAACCTTCATGTGGGTCTGACTCACACAATATGTTACAAATGGTATGTTAACATTTGAAAAAGAAAATAAGTAATGACAGTGCAAAGGAGGAGACCGTTTTGTTGTTTTTTAAGGGGGGAATGGGAAAATGGAAACATACATTTCCCAGACCTTTAAAAAGTGGCCTTCTGCAATTTACGCTTTTTTTCTCCTCAGAGAATATCATGGAAAAGGGGTTTTATTTATTGCTAGTAGAGCAGATATCACTGCTTTTACAATAAAAAGCTAATTTCTTAAAGTTATCGTTTCTACTCTCATTTCTGTTTCCAATGAAGAAAAAGAAATAAAGAAAGACAAACTAAACCAGAAAAGTTTATCTCGGCAAGTATGAAAAAATATGGCCACACTTTCTCTCTCTCTCTCTCTCCTCTAGAGGTGCTGATCTCTGATTTAGGAACTTCTGGCCATAATGAAGATGGTCAAAGTCTTCAAATAAAGATCTTGGTTCCTGCTGTTAGCCAGAAAGGCCCTATAATATCATGGTGATAGAACAATGAATTCTATTCAACAACAGGTCTGAAAACGGTTTGATAAGAACAGTAAAAATACTGAACAGTGTTTAGCACATTGTAGACACTGAAGAAATGTTAGTTTATTTTTCTCTTCCTTTTTCCTGAATTTAAAAATGAGGTAACTGACCTCCAAGATGAGGTAGCTTGCCCAACGTCTCGGGAAGTTGGTGCCATGGCTCCCTCCAAACAGAAGGTCTATACCCCTAATACTTTCTACAATGCCACAGTTGCTCCCCTTTGATGACATGTGATAACATCTTTAAATATGTACCCCAAATTTTAATATTTTTACTTATATTTATCTGAATATAAACTTAAGCTTTTGTTCGAATGGTGATTGATGTAAATTTAAATTCCTCCTGAAACCTGGGCACTTTTTTTTTAATCTAAAATTCTGTAATATAACTGCAGCATGAACAGAAAATTAGGTTTAGAAATGACTCCCTCTAAAGCATTAAGGCAGCACTGGCTGGCAGGCAAGCAATGGGATATTGTTCCAAGTTTCACAGGGGCACATGAATACCACCGGCATACTCATTAATACCAATTGAGATTCAAAGAGAATGTGTCACTCAGTGCCAGAACTAGAAACTGGCTTGTTTCTATGGATAAAATGTCATGTAACAATGATTTTTTCAGAGCGTAGAGTGGGCTTCTAAATAGCTCTTGGGAGAGCTCTACTGCTCTCCACCAGTTTGTTCTCAGATCAGTACTTTTCACCAAGGAATTGAGCAATTATCAGGAAAAGCAGGAAAATAAGCACTGTAGGCATTTCCTCCTCCCACCCCAGTTTTCTAAAAACAGTTATATTTAAAGTTTTAAAGTTAAGAATATATTATGAAAGGTATTTTTTACTACAGGATGTTTTATTCCTTCATGACTTTAATTTACACTGACTTTTTAAGCCAATGTTCACTTTCTTGGGGTACTTTCTCCTTGAAATCTAACTCAAGACTATAAGTAGGTAAACTCATAGAAAATAATTGGAAGGATAAAGACCAAATCTAAATGCAATGATATCTGTGAAGAGGAAGTGGGGGACTAGGAACTAGAGGTGTAGGGGACTCATTATCATGTACTGCTTGTATACTTTTAATTGCCCTTAAGAAACACTTTTTTTAATGTACTGTAGACAAAAGATTTCTGAAGAAAACTAAAATATATAGGCTCTAATTTTAAGTGGTCTCTGCTGATTTTACAAAAATAAACATACATTTTCTTTGAGTGGTAGTATTTTATAATAGGAAGCCTTGAATCTTTCATTTTCCCATGTGTCACTTTTGACATGTAGGGTACATTACTCTGAAACACACATAAATCAAATATCAATCAACTTAGAGGAATAATGCCTTAAAAAGTTTGTAAATGAAAAGTGAAACTGATGACCAAAATAGCCATTATGTGTTCACTTCCTTTTCTGAGCCAAATGACACCATTAATGGTATGTACCACATTCAAGCACTGTATTGAGCTGTTCAAAGGATTTTTGGAAGCATGACAGTCAACTCACTTGCTCCAACCCAAAAATGGAATAGGAGAAACCCATGTATTTTAAGACACAGTAAGGGTGTGTGCCTGGTGGCATGGTCTATTTTTAGGAGTTATATTGTGAAACTTTGTGAATGCATGCAGGAAAAAAACAGTAATAGAAGAGAAACTACATGAATTATTTCATTCTTACAATAGCTCTCTGTCCAATATGAGCTAAATATGTCTTTGAAAGTGCCTGTAGTTTGAACTCTTACTACCCCCAAAGATTTACCTCTACATTCATATACATAACTAAAGAGGTTCTTGGAAGACTTCATTATTTATTGAAAATAAACCAATTTTAAGTCTGCGAAATCTCAAATAAGTGCACTAGCAGTAAGTAAGAATACATTTTATGGAACTGACAGAGGACCCAGGGAATGCTAACCTAGAACTGGGAATGGGATTACAGCTCTCAAATAACTCCCACTTTGTGATGCCCAGAGGGATAATATAAATGAATTCTTCCACCCATCAAGTGACAGCTGGTCAATACTTTTTTCTTGGGCACTGTTCATGTCTGATATGCTTAAAAAATAAGCGGCAAACCATGTTGTGGCATTTGTGTCAAGAAGAATATATTTCCACTGCTGAATCCTAGATTTTCTGTTGGTATAATTGTTCTTAACCCCCCTTTTTTTAAAAAAATGTGAATGTTCTTCACCTCCAACTTGTTTGCTAAGAAACAACAGAAGTTCCTGAGTAAAAGGCGCTTACTACTTACTAGCACTCTTCTCAGCCCTCACCACTGTGGTCTGTGAAAAGCAACGCTTCAACCAGCAAGAACAATCACAGGGCCATGGACGATTGCTCTTATTTTACAATTATATTTAACTAAACATAGTTAAGATCTTATTATAAAAAATTCCTATTATTCCCTGAAAAGTAGACTAAATGAAATAGACTGCAGCAGTATTTATCCTCCTAAAATCCCATTCTTGTCTTTAAGGGTCCAGAGATTATATAGGCCACGTGTTTCGCACACTTGAGACTAAAAAGCTATCTGCTTAGAAAGTTCTTCATAGCTCCATGTTTATACTGGAAAGTCGAAGATTTCACTGCATCCACAGTAAAACTTAGCTCCTGGTGCTGCTCTTGAAATTTAAGGCAAATATACAGTAAGTTCCTAAAAAGACTGAGTGGCCATATGCAATTTACTGACATTGTGAGTTGCCTTGTAATACTAAATACAAGCTAAATTTTTCTATAAATCATCTGAACTTTAATATATTTTTAGAGAACATAGCAAGCAAAATGAGGGATGGGGAAAGATCAAACTGAACAGTACAGTATATACTCAAGTGGATCCCAAACTACAACCAAGACTTACCTTTTCAGGTCAACAGTTGTGACACTAAATACAACTCCTTTGAGCCAAAGAATCATAAAGAGCCGCTGGGAAAAGGGGCAGTTTCCTATACTTTCACCATCACTGCCAGCCTGGGAAACAGAAAAAAACATTAAAAAAAAACAAGGTCAAAGTGATAATACTCCAAACGATAGATCTTTTTTCTGAATTTAATCAAGGGTACGAGAAGACATGGAAAGTTGCATTGTGAAAGGAGGAGTGGAAATTTGGGTCTTTATTATTTTGCTCTTTCGTTTGCCTCTTTCTCTTCTTAAAAATGTCCAGTCTAGCATGGCACTGTCCAAGAGAACTTTCTGCGATGATAGATATTATCTATGTTACCACTGTCCAAAATGGTAATCATTTGTATCATATGAATAATGAGTACTTAAAATGTGGCTAGTTCAACCGGACTGAATTTTTTATCTTATTTTTAATTAACTTAAATAGTCACACATGGCTAATGGCTATCATATAGGACAGCATAGGTGTGATCAATCCCTAGGGGATACATCCTTGCCTCAAGGCAAAGACAGTCTATGGTACATTTTATGAAATGTAAGTCATTTCTTGTTCTATGAGATAATGTTCTTTATAGGGCAACATAAAAAGGGGAACTTGTAGGTGTCCCTGTCTCCAAACAGTTAAATAATCGCCAACCTCCCCGCCACAATCTAAAAAATATTCACTATAAAAATTACATATCCTGTTTCATACATTCCTTTGGGGAGAAAATAACAAAACATATCTTTATCATAAGCTATTTGGAATCCACTTAATGAATATAGCAGTTGACTTCCCTGAGTTCAACAATGAGGTAGAATTTTCCTGAAAATCAGAGTGGAACCAATTTTTAATGCCATCATGTATGTCCCAAGTTTAAAAAGGAAGGAGGAGGGGAAGCGGGAAATGGGGGCGGCGGGGAGCCAGCATGCTGGAAGAGAACATTTTGGCATTTGCTAGGGACAATCACAGTCCTCTTCACCATGAAGTCTATGGAGAAAGCCAGAATTAACTTTCAACGAGTCATTCAAAGATGCTGGTAAAAGTACTATTTATTATCCTAAAGTAACTCTCAAAAAACTCAGAAGCCAGTTCAGTAAAATGCTATATCAGTTAAGGCATTAATTCCTAACTAGTGAAATGGGGGGAGGGGATGAAAAATAAAAGCAGTTATCTGATTAGATATAACATAACCAACAAAACACATGGACACAGAAGGAGAATGCCAGAACCTTACCCTAATCAGACAGCATGAGACGGTTATAACTGAGCTTGGGGGGAAAAAATGATCATTCTTTATCAGTAACAAAACATACCCAGAATTATAGCCAGAATGAATCATATTAATTTCTAACACTTCAACTTGTACGAAAATTTACTTCTAAAGAAATCTAGTTTAAATCTCATAGTGATTACAAATAACCTAAAGAAAATATTTAAAATGAAAATTTCTGTGCCTTACATTCAGAGGTTCTAGAAGAATTCCTCAGTGGGGCCCAGAAATCTTCATTTTGTTACAGACACCTAAGGAGATCACAAAGTAAGGCCTCTGCTGGACACACTGAGAAACACTGGTGTGAGAAGGTTAGGACGATATTCCTTCTTCAGAGCACAAGTCAGTTTTTAGGATTAAGTCGTCCTACTATATAACAAACTGGTACTCAAATTGTTTTTTTGAAGATGCTCACTATCCCAACACATGTGGAACATTGATAACATACAGTTTATTACAGATAAGAAAAAGTTAATACATTACCTTCCTATATATCTTGATGATTAATATTTTCATATAAGCTTGTAGCTTTAGATACCCAAATTTTATCATCATTGTTTTGCTTTTTTCCCCTCCTGGTTTTAACATGCTTAACAGCGAAAGTATAAATACAAGGAAAAAAGTACACCAAACTTAAGACTTACTGAAAAGCAATTAAGTTTGATAGACAAAGAACAAGTCTGACTCAAGATCTTCATCCTATTCCATTTATTCAGTCTGTAATATTATTTCCCAAACTGCCTGTCATAGGAATGTTAAAATAATTAAATTGGTAAAGAAGATGTAACAAAGATGTTACATGTAGGCACTTGGAAACACATTAAACTAAAGGCAAGCTGCAGATAAAAAGTGACGGGCCATAGATGAAAAACACACCATACTTTCCTACAATGGTCTGCAGAGCATATCCCTACAGTACGACAGAAGGATCTCAGAACACAGGCTGCTTCAAGAAGACCTGGTCAAAATACAAATGCCCCTTTGCTTTCACCTCCTCTATGATTTTCTAGCAAATGTTACCAATTTACTTCTCTTTCAGGTGTATCATAAGCTGTTACACATCTTACATTCCTTATAAAACTACTTTCCTTTATGCACACAAAAATAAAAGCATGGGTACTATTCAAGATAAAACTGAAAAACTGCCTTTTTATTAACTACTCCCAAAACTCACAATTCAAATAAATTTTGGATGTACAAGTTTTTCCAAAGTTTTAATAGCATTAGAAAATTGGAGCTACTAGATGATGTTTTTGTAAATTTTTCCAGAGAAAATGGAAAAATTTGGATTTCCAGAAGTCACAAGTCAAAAATTTCCTCCTTTAATCCATGTCGTACTAATAAAATTCCATTTCAACATTTCAATAAAATTCCTTTCAAGTTTTAAGGATAAAAATTACTCTCTCCAGTATGAACTGCATTGAATACCACCTATTGGTACAATTGACTAAGGAGGATATTACAGCATAGTATAAAGCATTACACACTGGAAATCAGAATATCTTTATTCTATACTCAGTTTCTTATTGATAACTAATAAAAATTAACACATAGGTATATCTAACAATAAATATCATCTAATAAAAGTATCAATTTTAAAAGAACTGCTTTTTACTGCTTCTAACAGCAATATAAACATTTATTTTAAAAATAAATAAAAACTGAAACACTACAGAAAGTCAGAGTTCCTTTCACCTACCCTTGAACCATTCAACTAATTTGTTACTTATTTGTCTAGGTTTTTTTCTATATACATACTACTTTTTTCTTTTAAAAATGTGATCACGCTACATCTTTATAACTCCAGTTTAATGTAATCAACCCTCTGGAGGCTGTAATGCTCCCCACCAGCATGGAAGCCAGGGCGTACAACCCTGCCAGCCAGTAACAAAGAATTCCTCTCCCTTGCTGCTAGGGTGAGGGTCAGAGGAGGTCTAGTAGAGAGTAGTCAGGACTGTCACCATCAACCAGAGGTGGCTGACGGTAATGAGACCACCTCAACTGGGGTGTCAGTGGAGACCACATGGGAAACTGGAACTTACACCCCTGTGCAGCAGTAATGAGGAGGCTCTCGACCTTGGGTATCAATGGAGGCCAGGTGAGTCATCTGGACTTCTGTCTCCCCCGGGCTGTAACAAGGCAGTATCACTGCCCTTCTCCCCTCCCAAGCACCTCCAGAGCATTGTCAGAGAAGTCTTATTTGAGTGTCAGAAAAGTTTAAACAGAAGGTTTAAACAAGATTGAGTTTCATAACATAATATGAAAATATCCAGGTTTCAATTGAAAGTCACTTGTCATATCAAGAACCATATCAAACTAAATGACATCGACAGATGTCAACCTCAAGATGACAGAGATGTTAGACTTATCTAACAAAGATTTTAAAGCAGCCATAATAAAAATACTTCAATGAGCAATCACGAACAGCTTGAAACAAATGAAAAAATGGAAAGCCTCGGCAAAGAAATAGAAGATGTAAACAAGAACCAGATGGAAATTTTAGAACTGAAAAATATAATAACTGAAATCAAAAGTTCAGAGGATAGGCTCAATAGCCAAAAGGAGATGACAGAGGAAAGAATCACTGAACTAGAAGACAGAATAGCAAGTACCCAATTCGAACACAGAAAAGGTATACTGAAAATGTAATACTTCCTATATATTTCCATATTTTTACATTATCCAACAGTCATTTTTGAAGGTTTTATTGCATTCTATTAACCCAACAATCTAACAACTAGAAATTTATTCTGTTGAGAGACTTATACAGATGCCTAAAGATAAATAAGAGGAAAGAACACTGAAGCATTGTTTGTTAACAGCAAAAAACACTGGAGACCACCCAATGTCCATCAGTAAAGGATCTACGTTATAGACCACCTCCACAGAGTGGAAGTCTGGGCTAACCATCTGGCCTTTGCTGACATGGGTGGGTAAAGGGCCATAGCTTTTTTCTGAGGTGTTTGAAGTAGAGCAGCTATTGGCTAAAAGTTTTCTGTCTTGCTTAGGCAGCCTCCTTCCTGATTCTTTGGCTAAAGAGAGCTGACTTTTGTTGAAACTTCTTTTGTCTGAGCTTGTTAGTGTTTCCGGGTTGGTGTTTCTATAGCTCCAAGTCTGTGATGTATGAGGGAAAAACAAAAACAGGAAACTCACTACCTTACCAAAAGCAAAAGTCTCTCAGAAGTATTATATTTGAAAAGCAAAATGAAAATGGAATACTATTTGACAATAAAAAGCAATGAAGTATACCTGCCATTATGATTTGAGTGAACGTTGAAAAATTATACTGAATGAAAGAAGCCGGTCCCAAAAGACCACATAGTATATGTGTCCATATATGAAATGTCCAAAATAGAAAAATCTATAAACAGAAAGTAGATTACTGGTTGCCTAGAGCTTGTAGTGGGGAGGGAAGGAGAGAAAAAGGGTTGGAGAGTAACTGATAACAGGTACAGAGTTTCTTTTTGGAATAGTAAAATTAGACTGGTGATGGCTGTACAACTTTGGGAATATACTAAAAATCAATGACTGTACACTTTAAATAGGATCATTGTATGGTATATGAATCTCAGTAAAGCTGATTCAAAAATATATAGACACAGATTACAAGTAAAATATACACGTACTGGCAAGATTTTAATTTAGAATATGTAGTTTTAAAATTAGGATTTCATATTATAAACATGTCTATAATGTTTCCTATTTCTAAAGTCAGAAAACCCAAATAAAGCAAAAATTTGAATACATCCACTAACACAGAAATAACCACTAATTTCCAGGAAAAGGATGAGGTAGCATGCATTTAGGTTTTGTTCT